TCTAGTTGTTTGTCCACCTCTGGACTTTAATCTTATTCCAGAACCTGAGTGTTGCGTGCACATCCGTTTAACAGATCTGACTTAATTATATACAGATTGCTGGTTCCTTGCCTGTCAGGCAGATGCACTCTGACTTCGAATGACGCCGCCAATTAGTCGACTCTTACGACATGCTTGTTAGGAAGACAGTAGGTCCATTTTTTTTCTCCACAATTGGTGTAGCACAGTTCTCTTCTTTGTTGCGTATGTTGATATCACACCCAGGTTCGTCTGTAAGTTTGCTACAGGAGGAGTCGATTGGAAGATTATAGACGAGGAGAAAGATGGTCGTGTCGATAGTGGTAATGATGATGATGTCTTACTAGCTGCATGCTTCTCACGTAACTCTGATGCTGGCATAATAAAATTTCTGGAAACAACTGTTCTTGTCTATACTGTCTTTATTGTAATACTTCAGCAATGTCAGAAACAATATCAATAATATTCTGCAAGGCGCTGTGTTCTCCCTATGGCTACATACTCTTAAGGTTCGCGTTGTGTTCTTTATCTCTAGTTACTTTGGTTCTAGTTTCTGTAACTGCCACCTGGCCTCTAGTGCTGTCTGGTACTAACGGATTAATCGTCGACTCTAACATCTCAATAGTGTTCCTAGTGTGCCTCTGTTAACCATGGATCCATGTATCTTGTGTGTTGTCTCTGTAGCTCGATGTCTAGTTTTATGTCTGCTCTCTAGTGACTGTCTTCGGCGCTCAATGTGACTGGCTCCTCTCCTACTAGTGTTGAGCTGGCATCTCCACAACTGAAAGTGCTCTATGAGTGTTCATGTTACTAGTCCCTCGTCACTAAGTCTTGTTGACTGAGAGCTTTCTTTGAGGATCATTATGACTGGTCCCTCCTCATTCGAGTATTGTGGACTGAAGAATTGCCCTGAGTGGATTCTTGCCCATTATTTATACTTGGATGCTGGAATGCTAGGTATTTGTTTTCTTCTCTCTTTTTCTGCTTCTAGAATATTCTTTTATGCGCAATTTGTTTACTGTGTACGTTCTTACTTGGGATTTTCTAAAAATATCTCGATTGCATCGGATTTCATAATTCTATTCTACGCAGATATAGTAGTTAAACTGACAACTGACGTCAATAGACTTCTAAAAAACAAGTGCTGCTAGGTTCTCTCTAAAAGGGCATGGCCAACAATGACGTCAAATACTATTTATAAAATATTTTTTCTAAAACGTGTTGATTTTATTCTCATCAAATACTACGCAAAATTCTATATTCTAACAAACAAGTTATGATCTTACTCTGTTACATGGGTTCCCGGAACCCAAACTGGGACACCACTCTTCTGATCCGACAGCTTCTGCAAAATGTTTTGTTCTGAAAGCAGGGCTTTACTTCTGCCAGTACGCAATGGTTATAGTACTGGCACTTTTTCTTTAAGGTTTCCGTTTTTTTTTATTTTTTTAGCGCTATGCTAAAAGATACTTGTGGTGAGTATCGGTACCTTTTCAGACACCTAGACCTTAGAACCAGTACCTCTGTATTTTTTTCTCTAGAAAACAAAGAGTCACATTCAAGAGTTTTGCTGTTATTTTTTTTTTTTTTTTTTTTGTGGTGTAAAGAAGGTTATGCCGAATGAGGGATACTGCTGTAGGGGTTACACACGCTCTGTGCAATACTGACCACGATTTTTGCTAAAAAAAGAGGATACACTTCATCAGGGGGCTTAACTGAGCTTGAAAATTACGAACCGGTCTTGCTAGTCACACTCGACATCGCCACGGGCTCTACCCCTAACCCTAACTCTAACCCTAACCCTAACCCTAACCCTAACCGTAACCCTAACGTTACCCCTAACCCTAGCCCTAACCCTAACCCTAATCCTACCGCTAACCCTAACCCTACCCCTAACCACGCGAATTTATCGGTCATTAAAGCATACAGGTCGGCAACCCCCCCCCCCCCCCCCCCCCCCCCCCCCCCCCCCCCCCCAAAAAAAAAAAAAAAACCCAGATTTCCCCTCAACGTCAAAAAAAAAAAAAAAAAAACGACACCCAGATCTGGGGGACACAACCAAGCATTGGCAGCCCTGATATCGACCTCACTGTCTTCTTTGATTCATGACTTTTCCTCTCACTGTTTTCAGTGCGGCCAAAGGAGAGAACTCCCACTAAACTGAACTAAGCCTTCCAGCCCTCGTCCGGTACTGCAAGGAGAGCCGAACAATTTCCCAGCCTTCTGCGTATTGGGCATTTAGGGTTAGACACATATTTTGTAGACCAATCGACACTCGCTGGGTGATGCAGTCTACATCTTTACTTCTATGAGTTTACATGCCAGGCCAGTGGCATTTACCCAAAGAACAAAAAAAAACAAAAAAAAAAAAAACTCGTTTAATGCGTATTTGAACCCATACCTTCGGATTCACGGGCAGGCATCTAGCCGCCATACCATACCTTTTGATTCCTAGTCTGTCAGTCAGTTTTGTTACAGATCGTCTTCCATTCCATGATGTCATATTGAACCTAATCACCTCTTTTGATTTTCTTTTTGTTTTGCACTGTAACTGTCATATTTTACGACGTGCTCTGGTTTTCCACTTTACTGGACAACATCTAAAGAAAATGGATCTGAAACGTATTAATTTCAGATCTAAGTATTAGCAACAACCAGCTTCAAAAAATTGTAAGACAAAAGGATATATGCTTGGATGTTTATATTATATTTTGTCATCGTCAACATAACTCAACTTAATGGATTTAAAAACCGGAGTTGAATATAATATTTTCATTCTCCATTAATTTATTAAGCTTACCGATTGTGTGTGTGTGTGTGTGTGTGTGTGTGTGTGTGTGTGTGTGTGTGTGTGTGTGCGTGTGTGTGTGTGTGTGTGTGTGTGTGAACACTAATCGTTGGATTAGATTTGGTTTAAAAATATGTTTGCTTTTTAATCTATGCAGATGAACTTTCACAGACGTGCAAGCGTCTGTTTACTCGAGATGTCTTCACAAAATGTTTATCGTAAACTGGTTACCTAATAACAATCAAAGAAAACATTATTTACTCAAGGTGGCTTCACAGTACCACTTCAGTGGCGAAGTCTCAAGTGTTAACCAATAACATGAAAGGACTCAGGATGCTACATATTCACCTAAGATGGCTTCAGAATGGTAATTCAGAGATGCTAGTGATTCAGAGATGACACCTATCTCTGATTACCTTGTAAAGACTTCAGAACGCATCTACTGACCCAAGATGGCTTCACAATACTGCTCCAGTGGTAGAATCATAGGCGTTCACTGATTAACTTATACAGATGTATTCTTTTAAAAAAAAAACTGTTTACCCTAGATGGCTTCACCTTATTATTTCAGTGGGAGTGTCATCAGTTACAATGAATACTATATAAAGATGCAAGAAAACACCTGTTTACCGAAGATGACTTCACCTTGCTATTTCATTGATAGTATCGTCAGTTACAATATTTAACATATAGACGCACGAGAACACCAGTTTACTTAAGATGGCTTCACATTACAACTCCAGCTGTTGTATCGTCACCGTATGCTGATTAACTTATCAAGGCATACGAAACCGTCTGTTTACCCAAGATGGCTTGACAATACTACTTTGCTGGTAGTATCGTAATCTTACGCTGAATAATTTAGAGACACTAGAGAACAACTGTTTATCCAAGATGGCTTCACAATACTACTCCACTAGTAATGTCGCCACCGTACAGTGATTAATGTCTTAAGACCCAAGACAGTGTTGTTTTCCGACATTAGTGTACAGTAATAATTTTAAAGACTTGAAAAAAAAAGAGTACAAATTTACCTGAAAACATTTATTTACCCAAGATGGTTTCAAACAACTACTTCAGTGTGAACGTCCCCAACTTATAAAGCCACAAGAACGCACATAATTATCCCGTATGGATTCAGAATAGTATTTTAGTTACGTCAATTGCATACAGTGATTAATTTAGAAAGATACGTATGTTTATCCACATCGGCGATCGCTGATCAAGTTTTAAAGCCACAAGAACGAATTTATAAACGCAAGATGATATTACAAAACCACTTCCGAGACAAGATCTCTGACCTAAACTCAGTAACTTAAAAAAAAAAAATGAAGAAATTATTTATTTACTCAAAATAACATCAGAATGCTATTTCGGTGTTAATCATCGGCGTACAATGAATGGTTAAGTTATAGAGACAAGAGACAAAAAATCTTCACAGATCACGTCATCATATTTCTTCTCAATCATCCTCTCTAACAAAAGCGGATTAACCTGGAATCTGAATGGTTTTCTATTTTTTTTTTTTTCCATTTACTCAAGGTTACTTCACAATGCTACATCGCCAGAAACTCCAGAGTAACTTACGCAGACACAAAAACGAGTCTGTTTGCTAAAGGTGATTTCTGACTACTACGTATGAGACAAAAATCTCTGGTCAAGTCAATTAACTTATTAAGGACATATGAATGCATCTATTTACATAGCATACAGAGGACTACAATTTCACCTCAAGATCAAAGTCTCCAGTCTACAATGATTAACTGTTTTAGTCACACGAAAACATTTATTCACTCAAGAAGGCTTCACAATACCACTTCAGTGAGAATTCTTTAGCCTGAAGTGACTAACATATAAAGACACAAAGGATCATCTCTTCACCAGAGATGACTTCAAATACCACTTTAGCGAAAAATCTCCAGTCTTTACAAAAGATGGCTTCACAATACCACTTCAGTGACAAATCTTCAGCCCACAGTGACTAACGTATAAAGACACAAGGAATTATCTCTTAACTAAAGATGGCTTCACAGACCACTTCAGTGATAAATCTCTATCCTACGATGACTAACCTATAAAGACAGAAAAAAACATCTCTTTACCAACGATGACTTCACAATACCACTTCAGTGACAAATCTCCAGCCTACAGTGACTAACTCATAAAGACACAAGGGATCATCCATTTTCCCGAGATGGCTTCACAGCATCACTTGAATGACAATGTCTCCAGCGTATACTTCATGGATTACCAACAACTGGGAGCTTCTATCCCTCAGCCACCAGCCCATCTTCTGGCTATTTGTACGATCTTGTATGTGATCATATTTGTGCTTGGTCTGATGGGCAACATAGCGGTCATTCTGGTGGTGCTGCAGTGCAGGTGAGTTGAGTAGATGGAGCAGAGGACAGACAGACAGACAGACAGACAGACAGACAGACAGACAGACAGACAGACAGACAGACAGACAGACAGACAGACAGACAGACAGACAGACAGACAGACAGACAGACAGACAGACAGACAGACAGACAGACAGACAGACAGACAGACGGACGGACGAACGGACAGACGGACAAACAGATAAATATCGCAATTCCTTATCATCGGTGTCGCACGGCTAGGCAGTCTTTTATTTAGTTCTCTGTATTGTGTATTTTTGTGTGTGTGTGTGCACTATGCATTTTTCATCCTAAACGGCGACCCACGTAGAACGTCGGCAGAGGGTTACTCTACAACTCGAAGAAAAAAAAAATCAACAAGAAAAGAAAAACACAGCAAATGTTACGTGGGTAGTCTGATAGGAAATTTGAAAAATATCATATTTTTGCTTTAACATATTTAATGCCACTAACCATGTAGATAAATATGTCTATTTTCATGTGCAGTTTACAACTTTAAAATCCGATCAATAGAACCTGAGATAATTCGATTACAAATGGGTGTTTGTGGGTAGCTCAAGGAGACCATTTTGACAAAAATAAAGTTTTTTTTTCTTTATATGGTTCTTTTCAATCCAAAACAATGAATCACTCCCTTTTTCTTGGGTCTTATAATAAGGATTTCTCCCCTTACTTCCGTCAAAGCTATTTCCGTTGACTGAAGCTGGAAATTTTATGATTTGTGAGTTATTATCGAGTTATTTGTTTCAATACTTAGTTTAGAATTATTCCATCATTTCCAAAGCAGAGGAGTAAAGTTGCAAAGAAAAGGAAATTTAGAGGAAATCAATTTACTTCTGCTTCAAAGCAACCTAAACTGGTGGTAGACATTGAATTGCAGCCCCGTGTTTCACCAGCTGACGCTTGCCGAGTTTCTGAAGACAAAGAAAATAATCAGATTTCAGAATCTCTTAGTACTACGCCCACTACATCAGAAAATAAACTGTTTATGGACAGCATTATGAATGAAGATCTAGAGGATAAACAAGAGTATTCTGATGACTTTAATAGTGACAATGAAAATGAAAATGGTCATTTATCTGAACTTGTTCCCAGTGGCAACAGAATTATTGATATGTACATTTTTGTGTGAGAATATTTCATCACAATTAGTGTGTGCAAGTTGCCATGAAAGTGTCAGATTAGTTGAAATTCAGAGGCAAGGTTTAGGAAGTAAACTTGCATTTCACTGCAACAATGAAAGATGTTCTGGACAAAAGGCTTTCCCTACATGCGAACAAATCATTGTAGGTAAAAGGACAGTGAGTAGTATAAATCAGCGTGCTGTTTTTGCAATGCGAACTATTGGCTGCTACAGATCTGAATTGCAGACATTTTGCGGAGTTATGGATTTACCACCACCTGTCAACAAAAGCACATATAGTCTTATTAATAAGAAAATAGAGGCTGCAGCAACAGAGGTACAGAGAACATCTATGAGAAATTCAGCCATGAATGAATTTTCTTTAGCTGAATGTTTAGAAAATAAGGAACTGATGGATGACATCCGTCATATTGATGTGTCATCAGATGGGACTTGGATGACCCCAGGACACTCATCAGTGATAGGAGTTGCCACAACTATTGGTTGTCAAACAGGCAAAATACTTGACACAGGGACAAGATGTAAGCAATGCAAGTCTTGTGACGTTTGGAAAAGAAGGGATAAAAGTACGACGAGGTATATTAGATGGGCTACAGAACACAAGGACATATGTACACTCACACATAAAGGTTCTTCGGGATCGATGGAGGCAGAAATAATCAAAGATATTTTTGCAAGGTCTGTGACAAATTATAATCTTAGGTATACCAGGTTTATAGGCGATGGAGATACAAACACATACAAAGCAGTAGTTAATTCCAAACCATATGGAGACATACCGATTGATAAAATAGAATGTGTGGGACACGTACAAAAAAGAATGGGCACCCGTCTCCGCAACTTAAAAAAAAAGCATGAAAGGAAGAAAGTTAGAAGACGGAAAAAGCTTAGATGGAAAAGGAAGGCTTACAGATAAACAAATTGATCAGATTCATACAATGTATGGGAATGCAATTCGTAAAAATAAAAACAATCTTGCTGAGATGAGACAACATGTGTGGGCAGTCTATTTTCACAGACTTTCAACTGATGGAAATCCTCAACACAGTATGTGCTCACCTGTGTGTCCTTATAAGAAGGCTGAATCAGAAAACAAGTTAGATTCTTACAAACATAAATCTAGCTTGCCCACAGCAGTTATGGATACCATAAAACCCATCTTTAGGGATCTTGCACATCCAGATCTTTACGCAAGTGTTTAGAAGGTTATACACAGAACGCAAATGAAAGTGCTAACAGCCTCATCTGGAAATATTGCCCTAAAAAAAAAAACTCATGGACTGACTACAGTGAAAACAGCTGTTTCAATAGCAGTGAGTGTATTCAGTGATGGTGCTAAGACATTCTTGGATATTATGAGGGAACTGCAGCTCATGGTTGGACAGTTTGCTAAAGACTGTTTTCTACATAAGGATATGCGACGAATAAAAAATGCTCAACGGCGAGCCAAAGCAGCATCACATGCAGCCAGAATAGCTAGGAGGCGGACTAGACTTACTAGGGATGAGAAGCAGGCCCACCAGGAAGGATTACCATACTTACCTGGAGGACATTAGCCGAGTAAGTACACTTTTTCTCTCTCAAAACTGTTCGAAAACTTTGCCAAAATTTCGGGGGTGTGACTGACCTTTTGGTGTTTTTTTCTAAACTATTGGAGATAAATTATTAAACTTTGGTACACAGCTTTAAAACAATAACAGCTATGATCCCTACCACCAGCTTTGATAAATATTTTATGCAAGTTGAATTTTGAGTGTTTTAATTGCATAATTTGCTAGTCATTTTAGCCCATATTTTACAACTTCATAACTTCAAAACTATTGCTAGTACAAACAAACTAGAGGTAGGGAATCTAACTGTAGCAGTGAACTACTCTGACTCACATTTAGGACTCCTGTTAGGCACGTTTGAACAAGTTTGCAAGAAAAACATATGGTACATTAGTGAACTGTCATGTATCAAGCATATGCTCACCAAATTTCAAGAAGATATTTTAATATTTAGTTGGTTATTCATCAAAAACAAAACGGTTCCCATTTTTTTCACATTTCTGACCAGACTACCCCCTTACGGATTGAGAAATGAGAAATGAAGTATTTATTTACGGCAACACTTGGGCCGAGAGTCCCTTGTAATACCGTACTGCATCAAATCCCACATCCAAATTATCTTATGCCAGCGATAACAAATGCCGAGTAACAATAACAGACAGAACACACCACAAATGTTAATGTTGGAACTTGTGTCCACTGACCAAAACCTTTCTAACAGGCAAAACGAGAAGGTTTATTAGAAGATAATGTTCACATGTTTGTTTTAACCTTTGCATCCTTTTGTGATATGTAATTTTTCGTTATTTGAAGCGGTACTCTGGCTCTTGCCAGGGGCCGCAATTTAGCCTGGCCATAAATATGGTCTAATGGCTGAAAGAGGTTTCTGGGACCTCTCCATGGGTCATTCTCATCAATATTGTGACACTTTTTGTCATTGGGTGTTTATCGCTTGTGTGATGTTCTGGTGGGGTAAAAGAAGATAGATAGAGATAGACCTGTGTGTTATTAATGTAAAGAACCCCCATATGTCAGCAGAACGTGACTTTTAGCAAGGTAAATACCTTCATTCATCGCATTATGTTCCCCCCCCCCCCCCCCTCCCCCCGAAAAAAAAAAAATTTAAGTACTAGCCATTAGGCAGAAATTTCAATAGTAAAACAACTTTCCGACAACCAGTACATAGGTTAAAAGTAAAAATCTATTTTCCTGACTTTAAGCGTAAAATAAGGTAAAGTCGGGAGATGTGAACCAGCGTCATTGCACACAGTTATAAACCATAAGTGCTCTGCCACCAGTACGGACAGCTGATAAGAAACTGTCCGCCTGTGTCGCTGTCCGCACGTAGCTCCGTAGCTACAGCGACGTTTCTCCATTTACCCCAGAGTGTTAAACTCTGGTACCCATTTCCTAGATCCTGGGTAAACCCCCTGAACCACCCGGTTTTGAACACTGACCGTGGCTGCAGCGAGTCGCAGCTGGATTTGAAAGCGAGCCTTCTATCGACTGCGCTAACGCGGCTTTAAGCGTATATGGCTGTTGTGTTCTATCTGCGTTACACACTAATCAGCACACTCCCAAGTGTCTATAGATATAACATTTGCTCCCACACTCTCGAAGCAGGACTCGACGACAGTAGTTCCGTCATATAGCATATTTATTCGACAGAACACAAGAGGGTATACACAAGCTCTCACATCAACAAAGCTGCTTATTCAAAAACGTAGAAATTGACCCTAATTGGCATTCGCACCTAGTCTATATAGTCCTCACTCTCTCTCAACTTGTAGCTTCTTCTCCCTGACCACTACAGCTCTGAAGGTCTTCAGCTTCCCACAACTCTGGGGTCTCTGTACAAAAGAACAGGAAAACTCTCCTATCAACTGGACCTTAATATTACTTCAGCAGACAACTACGGCTGACTGGAATCGGACTTCACTGGTTCGTTCTTCAGAATGTGTGCACAGCACAGTCGCCCATCAAAGGACTCCGATGTCTGACAGGACTTCTAACACAAGTCCCCTCTAGCACACAGCTCTTGTCGGCATCGCTAATGTTCTGTTTCTATGGTGATCTTACGTCTCCTTTCTCCGTCATCCAGAACAGTCACTATTGGAGCATCCAGTCCCCTTGGCCTTACTTCGCCAGCGGGACTATACCTTCGACAAGTGCCGCAATCACAACCCTTACTCAGACCTTGATGCCTGCTAGTGTCTACTTTCTTGTGACACAACACTTCTCACTGGTCAACATTCTCTTCCCCTCACTACTCGGGCCAGTGTTGAC